CGGGCCCAGCGATGCCCGCCCGAGCCCCTCCATTTTAGGACGCCATCTTTCCCGCCGCCCAGAGCCTCCAGAGCGGCCTGGCCGACAGAGTCGGCGCGATGGCGGCCGATCTGTTCGCGGTCTGCAGCGCGTGGGATGATACGCCACAGGAGAGGCGACAGAAGAGGATTTGGAAGGATATCGAGATTGCAAGGATACGTTTGAACCATGCTGGAACAGATGCTACGCTGGTGACGCTGGCACTTAAGAACGGTCTGATCATTGTTACTGATGACGACCTGATTCCAGCCGTGAGGCTGGCGCCCATTCGTGTTCAGCAGCGGGGCCGAAGCTCGCGAGCAGAGGCTTGGGCCCGTCGGCCTGGGGTGGGCTTTAAATCGACCCCTCCTCCCTCCATGCGCCCACTGGGCTTAGGAGGGGGGAGGAAGGGGTGACATGGGAGGTATCTTCAGGCTGATGGGCCAACCCTCTGAGCGCGCACGTCGGCCCAACCACCCGAAGAATACTCGGCCCCAATACAAGCGCCACCCAGCATTCACGTGGCTTCCGAAATTGAAGAAGTCACAGTTTCATCGCATCAAATTTTAATTCGAGCAGTCCGCGCAGGCAGCGTGCCCGCGTGCTCGGTTTGAAGCGGCGAAGCCGCGCGTGCGCCCTCTTTTGCGTTTGCCCTGCATTCAGATGGGCGCGGCATCGCATATCGTGCCATCCTATCATCGCATCTGTCCAGCATTGCCCAGCATGGTAGCATAACGTACCACCCTGTCACAGCATTGCTCAGCATGGCAACAAACTTAGCGTACCAAGACATACGCAGCGTGCAGCACAGCACAGCATGGCATGCCATATCATACCATGCATGCCATGACATATCATAGCCACGCGTCGGACCACCTGAATCAAGAATATGAGAAGAGGAAGAGGAGGAGGTAAAGTTAAAGGAGGAGGAGGAGGAGAAAGAGGAGGAGGACGAGAAAGAGGACGAGGGAAGAGGGGAATGCGTTCCTCTGGCCACTGGGTTCGGCGTTTGTACCACCCGCGTTCCGCGCCGCGCTAGGGGTCGGAGGCGGAGGGGGAGGAGGAGGTGAAGGAGGACGAGGGGGAGGAGGAGGAGGAGGAGGAGGAGGAGGAGGAGGAGGGCGAAGATGAGGACGAGGAGACTAGGAGGAGGACGGGCGAGGTGTGGTGGATGGGGGGAAATGGATGAGCGATCGTAATGAGGAAGGGGGGGTATGATGATGCTGATGACGATGACGATGCCGATGACCATGTTGATGCTTATGACGATGATGGTGCGGATGCTGATGATGATGCTGATGAGGATGCAGATGCTGATGATGATGTTGCTGATGATGCTGCTGGTGACGATGATGATGCCGATGTCGATGCTGCTGGCGATGACGATGATGATGACACTGATGGGGATGGTGATGATGTGGATGATGACTATGATGATGATGGTGATGATGATGATGATGGTGCTGATGCTGGTGATGATGATGTTGATGATGTGAAGGGGCTGAGAGAAGGGATGAGGAGGGCCGGGGAGGGGAGGGTGGGAGAGGACGAGGGGTGAGGAGAGGATGATGGGGTGGAGGAGCAGGAGACGGAAGGCGTTGTGCAGCTTCTATACCTGCTTCATATCAGTTTTGCCTCTCACAACTACACGTTACGTTGATTCACATCTTTCGGTGACATATTTTTGTTGCCAGGGGGTTGAGGCTATGTCGCTGGCAGTTTTAAGTCCATGGAGGTGATGGTTTTCAGCTGGCAGTTGTAGGCTGATATTTCCAATGCCGGGGTTGAGGATATTTCGCTGGCAGTTCGAGGCCAGGGGGTGAGGATATTTCGCCGGCAGTTTTCAGCGATTGGCGTGAGGATATTTCGGTGGCAGTTTTGAACCAGGGGGTCGAAAATATTTCGATGGCAGTTTCAGGGCAGAGAAGAGGATATTTCGCGGGTTGTTTTAAGTCAGGGTTTGAGGATATTTCGTTGGCGGTTTCATGCCAGAGGGTGGGGATATTTAGTTGGCAGTCGTAAGGGAGGGGTGTGAGGATATTTCGCTGGCAATTTGCCAGGGGTTAAGTATATTTCGCTTGCAGTTTTTGGCTAGGGGGTGAGGATACCCGCTGGCAGTTGTAAGTCAGGGGTGTGAGGATATTTCCCTGGCAGTTTTGAGTCAGGGGGTTGAGGATATTTCGCTGGCAGTGTTGAGGCAGGGGTGTGAGGATATTTGGCTGGCATTTTTTATGTCAGGGGGTGGAGAATATGTCGCTGGCAGTTTCAAGCGAGGGGTGCGAGGATATTTCGCTGGCAGTTTCAAGCGAGGGGCGCTCAGGATTTTTCGCTGGCAGTTTTAAGCGAGGCTGCGAGGATATGATGCTAGCAGTTTTAAGGGAGGGGTGTGAGGTAACATGTATTTTCCACTGACTGTTTTAGGCTTGGGGGTTGGGGATATTTCGCTGGCAGCTCGAGAGGAGGTGGACGACGAGGAGGGCGGAGGAGGCGGAAAACGAGGAGGGAGTAGGAGATGGAGGAGGTGGCGGAAGGAGGATCCAGAGGAGTTGGACGACGGGGGGGATGGGCGAGAGGGAAGACGGAGGACGAGTACGAAGAGGAGGTGGCGAAAGGGGAGGGGTCGGAGGTAGGGCCTGAGAGGAGTCGTGGTCGGCGCAGGCATCCACGCGCCACGTGATGCAATGTTGGGTCTCGCCCTGCCTGGCCCAGCCGAAAGCTACCTACGCATGCAGCAAGGTGCTGCGCCCGTACATGCCCGCCCCTTGGGCCAAGGGGCCCTTGGCGTGGGGCTGGCGGGGGACCAAGGGGCGAGCTGTCCGGTGTCTGGGAAAAGCGCGGCCTGGGGCCTCTCTCCTCTCCCACCCCTCCTCCCCCTCCTCCTCCTCCTCCTCCTCCTCCTCCTCCTCCTCCTCCTCCTCCTCCTCCTCTCCTCTCTCCTTTCCCACCCCTCGCCCTCTCTCCTTTCCCGTCCCTTCCTTGTGATATGTGTGGCAGGGCTAGGTCGTCGTCGTCGTTGTCGTCGTCGTCGCCGTCGTCATGCATCCCACGCACGACTTGCCGGGACAATTCGATTATTATCCCCCCGGGACGGGACCCCGAACTTGCTTTATCCCTGGGGGATTCAGATCGGGGGCACAGGGTTATTGTTGCCAGGTCTTTCTTACCTTTGACCGATATCACCCGCATTTCTAGTTCCTGCCTATCTCGCTTGCGCTTCTTCGCTGGCATTTCTCGAAAACTTAACGAACCGATTCCTGCGTGTGCGCGCGGCTGGGGTGACGTCCTAGTCGGCCAGGGCCAATGGTCCGAGTGATTCATTCACTAGCTCTTCAGCGCCGCCTGCTTGGATTACCTCGGGCAGTCAGCATTCGAAGTGATACTGTTCAGAACGAAGATCGGACCAAGCGATCACGGGGGGAAATCGTGCCCTGGTCGGGGTTGCGCAGAGGGGTATCTCGAGGGGGGGGTCAAGGATCGTACCCACCTGGATGCTCACAGTTCCTTCTTCCCACGGGCCGTTCAGAGCACCCCGCGTCTACCACTATTCCCGCAGTGGCGCCTCCCCGAATTCAGGCAGGCCTGGAATGAAGACATTCTTTCAGCGCGCTCTGGAACGCTTTCGGAACGTTTTGGGCTGTGCGGAAGCGGCCGCTGCGCCAGGCGCATCCTCACAGATGCGCGATTCATCTCGACCCGAATTTAATGGCTCCCTGGGACCCTCACGGATCGATCGAGTTAGACAGGTGTCGCAGAAGGATGGGGTCGAGAGTTCTGATCGTTTTCTTCCCTCCGCCCTGTCACGGTTCCTCGCGCTGCGCGAGGTGTTCGTCGGGAGTGTGCAGAGTTTTTGCGTTCGGTGCCTACTGGGAGTCCTTGGGAGGTTTCTTGGGGCCTCCTGTGGGCATATTGGAGCTTCTTGGGGGTCTGTCGAATGGGCAATCGGGGTGGCCAGGCCGAGCTGGGGGTATTGAGCCCCGATAGTCCATTGAGCGGTGGAGGGGCTAATGTCGCAAAGGCCATCGAGATGCCTGGTGGCACAGTTGGCCCCCGCCTCGTCAAACGGGGATTCGGAAGGGTTGAAATCGTGGCTGCCACCGAGTTGTTTTTGTTGGTGGAACTCCAGCTGTCACATGAGCAGAAAGTTAGCTCGGTACTTTACGTCGCGATGTTGATCCTCCTATGCCAAGGGGTGGGGTGGAAGGGGGGAACTTTTCACACGCCTTTGCGACACCAGAACGGGTCGGCGGGATTTATGTTGCGCGGGATTTCGGGGGGCCCGAAGTGATGGGGGCAAGGAGGCCCAGAGAGGCGGAGACTCTAGGAAGCCGAGTCTGCGTATTGAAGGGCTCTGAAAACAATATTCTCTGGCATGGATCCGACATTTATGGAAGTGTAGCCAACGCGTTGAAACAGGAACCACTTAGGGCTCGAGAGAGGCTCTGGCTTCCGAGTCGCTCCTTGGACTCAGGTCTAGGAACGTGTTCGTGGCCGAGGCTCACAAGCCTCTTTGTTGTACCGCGTGTTGCCCGGGCTGTCGGGAAATTGTTTGGGGGACATTTGGGAGGGGCCTTTTAGGGCCGTCCAGAGAGAACAAGACAGTGGGGAGAAAGCAAGGTTGCGCCAGGTTCGCGCGTCAGCCGCTACGTGCAGTGTCTTTCTCAGAGCAAGCAGCTGAAGGAGCACAGCAAAAAAGGCAGTGGCGCTGGACCGAAGGGGCACGAGCGTGCTCCTTTCCCATGCTTCTGTTGTATAACTTGTTTTCACCGCGGGGTCCCCGCAGGGCCTGTTTTTTGATCCCGAGTCGTTTTCTGGCGGCCCTGGGGCCCGGCGAGAGCCCCCAAAGGCCGAAAACGATGAGAATCCTATCCTCCTTGCCGACGTTTTTCAATACGTTGGAGGTCTAGGTGCGCCTCTCCTCTGACTTTTGCCCTCCCTCCCCCCCCCTCACCTCCCCTCACCCCCCCCCCCTCTCCGCGCCTGAGGGGCGACAGCGCTTCCTCCGGCGGGGGCGGCTCCGCCTCCCCTGGCCGGGGCGGCTGGCACCCCGCCTCGCCCAGCGGGGGCGCCTCGCCCGTCGGAGCCGCCGCTGCCGGCCTGAGGGCCACCCCGCCGAAGGCCCCGCCACCTCTCCCCCCCGATCGCCCATTGATCGCCGATAGTGGCCCACTAGCCCGCCCCGCCCAGGAGCGTACGGATTTGCTATCGGGGGCCTATCGCCGATCGATCGGAGATGTACCGACGATTCCCAGTCGGTGTTTTCCCCCCTGAGCTGGTCCCCCCTTACTTGCCCTTCCCCCTCGAGGCCGCAGATTGAAAAGATCAGATCGGCGGGTGTCTGGGGAGGTAGGCACCCGCCCGCCGCCGCCGCGGGCCCGGCGCACCTTGGGACCTTGTGGGAGGGGGAGAATGACACAACTTCGCTTCCCTCTTCGTGCGCATTTCCCCGTATTTCTGATCATTCCTCATCGTCCCCATGGCTCATGGCCGAGTGCCCAACTGCTGTGAGCGTTATGCACATAGCCGAGTGTCCAATCGTGGTGAGCGTGTACGACACGGTGTGCATGCATGCTGGAATCATGGAAGAGTGGAGTCCAGATCATGCTTTGCTCACCGTGCAGCTGGACGGCGCGCGGCTGCAGACAGTGGCCGTGCTTCTGTTCGAAAAGTGGGAAAGATCCGGCGCGTGCTGAGTGATGGGCGGTCGTTCCACGACAGCGTCGAGTGTAGATGCCACTTGTGTTCCCTTGTAGAGCACTCCTGGATGTCAGCGTTTGTTTTGAAACAATCCCAACGCGATCGTCGAGCCTGCCGAGCTGCTGACGCCGTATCCGCCGCAGCAGTTGCTCTTGATGCTCTCCTGAGCCGCTCGGATGGCTCCGCGCGGGGACAGGAAAATAGAGGAGGCGAGGTCGCCTGCAGCTGCGCGGCCGTCTGGATACGTGGCGGACAGGTCGAGGGGCGAGTGAGCCGCTGGCTTCCAACGTGTTCAAGCAATGAGTGAGTACGAGGGCTTGATGCTGAGCCTTCAAGACGCCCTCGGCTGGCAAGTGCACGAGGTCGTCTTCGAGGTCGGTTATTTTATTGTTGCTAGGTAGTGTAGCTTTGAATGGCGGTGCCGAAATATTTTGTAGATCCCTCTGTGCACTCGTGCGATGCGGAGACGCTGCGGAGACTGAGAGAGGCAGCCACGTCCACATACGACATATGCACCGCGAGTACAATGCATTGGCAGATGCGCTAGCCAACGAGATCTTATGGCGGCCCCGCCAACCTGGACAGCTGGATCGTGTGATTATGTTGCTGTTTATTCGGGTTGCTGGAGGCTCTCCTGCATGGGACAGCGCATAATGTCCCATCAAGGGGGGTAATTCCTCTTAGCATTATCATCGCCACGGACATTTTAGATACGGGGTCCTCTGTTTCACCCCACACGGAAGAGACACTTTAATCATCTTGATTGTCAGGCATTTCGGAGACCGTCAGTGGTTACAGAATCTTCCTCGTCACCATCCTCGTCTTCGTCGCCGTCCTCACCATTATTCTCATCACCTCCGTCATCCATTCCCTATTCTTTCGTCGTGTTCGCCCTTCCTCTTCTTTCACGACGGGGAGTAGGTATGTTGATGACAGGGAGAGGAGGAGAAGGATTGATGAGGATATGTGTGTGTGGGACCGTTGTCTTCTCCTCTCCCCCATCCTGCTCACCAGCACAACTAATCCATGTCATCTCCTCCCCTTCGGAAAGGATAAGCGACGATGGCAGTGGGAAGTATTGGTGAGGATGCAGCGCAGGAGGAAGAAGGACCACATGATCGATCATAATTTGCTGGCACCAACGTGGTTCACCCATCTCACGCGTCCTACTACGCCACAGCAGGGAACCGTGCATCATGAATTCATATCAGCATTATAATTTGAAGTGCACTTTGATAGCCCCCCCCCCGCCGTGATTTGCTCCACGACGCGAGGGGGTCTGGGAAATGCGCGCGACGCAGCAAGTCGTTTTCGACTGCGCGGACAGTCGCGTATAAATTGCCCGCGCAAGGTCGCGCGTAAAGCCGCCTGTTTCTGATTCAGCGAGCCGCGCTGGCGGCCCACGTAACCCGCGTCGTAAGGTCGCCATGCGTTATCGCGTGATGCCCACTTCTGTTCGTCGTTCATGTGTCGCCCGCGCCCCCGTTTTTTCGTCCGACCCAGCTGTCTCCCCCCGCCCGCGCCGAGAGGCAATCGGCGTTAGGCTAGCACGGGGGCTTCGTCAAAAAGCAGAAAGCACGGCGTGTGCGTGGGCTTTTGTCGGGCGCGGCACCACGGAGGGACAGGCTCAGGGCGGGATGCATCGATCCCTTCTGAACCGATCATCGCCGATGGTGGCACGATGCCCCACCCTGCGAGGGGGTCTGGGAGATGCGCCCCCCCCGCCCCCCGGCGTCGGCGAGGCCGCCGCCGCCGCCTCCCCCGCCGGCGCCGCGGCTCCGAGCGGCCTCGGTGGCCCAGCGCAGCGCGGTCACGAACGGCCGCCCCTGCTGCCGCCGCCGGCCCCACGGCAGCGCGCGGAGGCCGCCGGCGAGGGCGAGCGGCGGGGCCGGCGGCCTGGGGGCTGCCGAACCCAGATCTCTCCCCAGACACCCAACGTGTTGCGAAATTCAGTGCGGAGGTTTTTCGTCGTTTGCGGCCTTTGGGAGGCCATGGCCGAGCCCTGGGGCAATCAGGAAACGACTCAGGGTGAACAGCCGTTCCCCTTGGAAAGGCTCCAGACCTCAGGCGTTCACATCGTGGAGAAATCCTGACTTCCGGGGGCTGCCAAACCAAGATCAGCAGCGATGTACATCCAGGCGGTTTTTCTTCGAAGGAGGAGTTTGTGTGCTTCAGTTATGTCGCTACCTGCTGGCTTTCCGAACGCGTTGGCATCTGCCCTCGCTGCTGACAAAAAGGTGGCTTTTCAGTCCTGGCGTCTTGCTTCGCAGGAGGAGAAGAAAGATACTGCTAATACGACAGGTCATCCTGAAGAGCCCACGTCGCCACAGCTGGGTTCTCCTCGACATTCTGGCGGGAACGCACTCCACTAGAGGTCCGACGACACGATTTCAGACGATTTTCTCAAGATTCCAAACTACTTGTTTTCAGTCGCGGCTTTAGTCCTCGTTTTCGGAATTGGGGGCTTGGTCTCTAGGTCCTGGGGGCTGCCAAACCTAGATCTCTCTTCAGACCTCCAACGGGTCGAACAATTTTTTCTTCAGGTTGTTAGTCGTTTGCAGCTTCTGGAGCCCCGAGACTATAACAAAGCAGGGTGAAACAGGACCTCGTGATGGAAAGCCGGCCGGCCCAGGGGAAAGGGTCGGGACTTTCAGGGTCTTTAAATTGGAAATAGCAAGACATAGGATCCCTGCATTTCCGAACTTGTTTCGTTCCATTCCAGCGTTTGTCATAGTTGTTTGGCGGTTGGGGTTCGCTTCTGGGCCCTGGGGCCATCAGAAGTGGATCTAGGGCGAAAGGGTGACTTTTGGCGAAGATGTCCAGGAGTTCTAGGGCCGAGCGAACAAATGAAGAAGACGCGCTTAGTCTAGACGTTGCATTGGCAAAGAAGAATTACACATGTGCATAAAGCAGGAAGTATTGTCGCAAGACCCCACAGTTTCCACGCTGGTTGCTTTGGTCCAGCGTGGTGCGAGGGATAATTGTGCAGCTGCCACGGACATCCCGCTGCAATAATGGAGGTCTTGGGAGGAGGAGAGGAAGAGGAGGAGACAAAGCCCTGCCAAACTATTGTACGCAATACCGCCGAACATATTCATGCCACATTAACATATTCTGCAAGGGCGCTTGTCATCTGGGACGCTCTTTGCCACTCCGAGTGTCTCTGCATTGATATAGTTTGTCCAATGCAGAAGAAGACGCCCTCGAAACCGTGACGACTTCCAGTGTCAAAGCAGAACATCATGATCTTGACCACTCCCGAAAACCATAGTTCTCGGTAGGTAGGCCTTCTGGAGGCGTCCAGAGCAAGTTTACCACATACTTTGAGATGCCTTGTAAGTAAAGTTGTCGTCAAAGGCCGGTATGTGTGCAAGATCACGAAATTGTCCGTTGCCCACGGGACACGAAAGCGGGTATAATTTTGAATAATTTTCGCCGTCGATCTTGTTTCTGCCCAGCCTGTACGAGCATACGCGGTTTCATCTCATATAAGAGTTTGGAACATATGCATGCTTCCTGTTGCTTGTGCTTGCGACTCTTGCTGAAATTTGCGTGGGTCCAAACTCTGACCGTCCTTTGTTGCTTCCCCCACGCCCCGCGTACATTCCGCCCGAGGGCTTCCATCGGTTTTCATGAATCCACCCACAGAGAGGGCATCATCTTTACATGTTATCGATTGGCCGCCTGGCCCATATACTCTCCAGGGTTGCTCACCCCCCCCCAGAGCTTCTGGGATCGAGCCCCCCACCCCCTTCGCTGGATGCGTACACCAGTGTGCCTCGCGAAGGCCTTGCGAATTGGATCGCTCTCCCCCTGTGGTTGTGGACGTGGCGTGGTGGAGGGTGCCGGTGCTTCCCCCCCCCGCGGGTGTTGGGTGGTTCGTCGTCGTTTTCCGTCGTCGTCTTCCGTCGTTGTCGTCGTCGTCGTCGTCGTCGTCGTCCCCCCCCATCCCATCTGGCGGGCGGGGAGGTTGCTGTGGAACCATGGGACCCATCCCATCTGTGGGTGGGGTGAGGGGGTTTGCGAACCCTCGAGCCAGGATTATCTATTGTTCCGTCTGCTCCCCAGGGGCCATCTTTGGACAATCTTGTTTAGTAGGCTTGTGCGGGACGTCAATATCCAAGCGTTCGTTGACGCGCTGCAAGATATCGGACACCACAATGACGAGCAAGCAGGGTGATGGGGGGCAACCTTCGCGATACCAGTTGCTTGGGTCCTTTGCGTCGTCGTCGTGCCCCCATCTTGAACTGCAACTTTCAGTATCCTGTAGATACTCCAGATCATGTTGACCATCGCTAGCTACATGCGGAATTTTCGCAGAGTGTGAAAGAGGTGTTCAGAGTGTGTACGGTCAAATGCGTTGCTCTGGAGGAGCAGTTTGCCATCTTCGTCTTCCAATGTTGCGTCAACCAGTTGGCGTGCCAAGCATGGGCCTTACTGGTGTTATAGCGGGGTCGGAAGCCGTGTTGAGATTCCCGAAATGCTTCTTTTCAGTTTCTTCGTTTTAGCCTTTTTAGCAATCTGTTCGCGAGTGCCTTATACCCAATGTGAGTGAAGAGATCGGTCAGTAGTTCGGAGGCTGTGACCTTGTCGGGACATGTTAACCACAGATGCTCTTCAGTTTTTGCGGATTGATTTTCTTCTCCCAGCATGCGTTGCACAACGACGTCAATATGTTTAGCGCCGCTTGGTCGCCCAGGTTTGTTGGTTCAAGGCCTGGTTGGCTCAAGGCCTCGGCTTATTCGATGTCATCCAGACAATCCCCCTCACTCTCACACCGCTCTTCTGGGCTGCGATGGTTTCTTCGAGTGCTAGTGGCTGTACGCGCGTGCCAGGTACACCAGTGCAGGACCTGCTCAAGGCAGAGAGATACATCATCGTTTGGAATCTTCTTTGGCAACACCTGCTGCAAAAAACAGCTCTCGTGACAAGTTCGCTGAGGGAGATGAATGGAGTGGACGCGGGAGAACCTGTTCCAGCAGCAGCGGCAGAACCTCTACGACTTCCAAATGGCGGGGCAGACGCAGCAGTTCGAATACGTCAACAACATTTTCAGCGCAGCCTCATGGAAGCGTCCTGCGTCGGACTCACCGCGGTTGCTTTCGAGGCCATTTTGAACAAGGATCTGGATCCGATTTACAATGATATTCTTGCCATTAAGCAGCACGGTGCGTAAACAACCTGAAGAACAAGGTGGGCCCGCTGCGTAAAGAACCCGGGCAGTTGCAGGGCACTGTAACTCATGATATTGCAGACTTTCAGATACGCGCTACCAACATGGAAAACACGATCAACGAGATGAAACAAGACATGATCAGTTTACACTTTACTCCAAGGTCGCTGAGCGGAGGGTCGCATACATGATGTCCGATTCATGTTGGAAGCGCGGCCAACGATAAAAGAAATATCACAGCTGTGGTGGTTAGTTTGGATGGTTTCGCCTTTTTTGTTCGACATGGCGTCCGATTGGCTTCAACAGGAACGTGAACACCTACAGGCACCAGAATGGATAAACAGGTACTTCAAAAGTGAGTTCCGCAACATCGTGTTCTGCGAGTTCGGCAACACCGAGGACAGGGACACCACAGTGGCGCAGTTACGCAGCGCCAAACTTATTCGGAATGGGAACACAGTGTGGGCCACGCCATACCGTCCACCGTTAGTGCGAGCAGCCCGCAGCTTCGGCTATGGGCTCAAGTACTTCCTCAAAAACAGCAGGTTCGTGGACTTCACATTAAAGGTAGACGACCAGAATCCCCACTCAGTAGAAGTTGGCGGGGAGCTTACCGTAACACTTACACCCGATTGGGGCGATCTCAAAATGAATTGGGCCAAACATTGGGGCACGCGGCAGGAATTGCACTCGCGCCCCAAACTCAAAGAGCTCGCCCAGACATGTGAGGGCATAGTGCAAAGAAACTCTCAGGGCAGAGCGAAAGGCTCTACCAAAGTGACCGAAAAGTAGGAAACGCGGCCAGCAATGGAAAACCGTACCACTACAAGGTCTTCTGCCTCCAGTGTTGGGGCCTCGGCAGAGACGCAGTGCACGAAGTTTTGGGGCAGAGGATGCCCCGGGCAAAGCTGCCGTAGCATCTAGCAGTGGTCCGCTTCGTGTGCGCCCGCCCGCGCTACAAGAACATCGCGCTACAGAGTTGGACGAGGCTACCATGCCTGAAGTGCGTACTTCCTCATCTACTCCTCCTTCGCAGTGTCTTTCGTAGCTACCTCGCGCATTTGGCGTTTCTTTGCCGCACCGGAGCAGCGTTGAGAGGCAAATGGGTGGTGGCGCCAGTGCGAGGCCTGCCAGCGCCCCGCGAGCCTTCGCATCAAAGCGCAGCTGTTCCTCACTCTTGGAGCAATTGATCGGGGCCTGGAACGTGGAAGGCATGGGAAACTACACGGCAAAACTACCAGAGTTACAACATTATGGGGCGAAGCACAAGATTGCAGTTTTATGCGTGCAAGAAACGTGAATCACAGCGCGCACTGAAAACATCTTTTCCGACTACATGCTTATTCCTATCCTGGACGTCAAAACCATATGGGGGTGGGTGGGTCTTATTTCGGAGTGGGATTCTTGATGGCGCCTTGGGCCATCAAGTCCATCATCAGCTTCAACTTGCTTTTCAGACAGGCTGGCGATCCTGAAGCTCAAGATCCGCGGCGGCATGCTCAATATCATTGCGGATTGCGCGCCTCGTGGAGATTGCGATTGCGAAGAGAGGCGCTAGTTTTTTCGACCAGTCCACGAAGGCCTGGCCAGTGCCCAACATGCGCGCCACCACCATCGCACGCGGCGACTTCAATGCGAGGTCACGCGGCCTGGAACCTGGGGGCGAATCTATCATAGGCGAGTTCTTCCTTCACCGCAAGTGGCCACGACGCAGAGCACGCATAAATGGGGGCTTCTTGTTGGAGACCTGCCGGGCGACGCCCGCCGCGGCCGCCGACGCACATTTGAACGGTCGCTGGAAAACCTCGCTGCATATGATGGGGTGGAGGTGGGCGGGGCGAGTCCGATAGGAGAAGGCGCTGCTCAAATTGAACGCTGCCTGGCTGGCCGCAGCGCGAGTGGGAGATGGACGAACGCGTGGGCAGATCGGACAATCGCATTGGCTTCGAGTTTTTTTCTACAACGCGTTCTTCTGGATTTCCATTTCGACACTGCATGCGCGATGCAATGCAGAAACATATTACCGCCTGAACGCGCTGATGGTGGACGGCAGCGCTCCTGGATATGATTGCCGCCGCTTCGTCGAGGCAGCGGCGGTGCCGGCGACTCCCGATGCTCCAGATTCGCGCGCCGAGCGCATCGTCGACGCAATGGTGCATGCTCCAGAAGCAATCAAGGAACGCGGGTGTGTGTGTGTGTGTGTGTGTGCGGGGTGTGGGTGTGGTGGCGGCGGCGGCGGTGGCGGCGGCGGTGGCGGGCGTGGGGGGGGGGTGGGGGGGGGGGGCAGGCGACCGTGGATCTCCGAAGCTACGCTGGATTTGTTGACCAAGAGGGATGCCATCCAATCAGTTGGAAACGTGTTGGAAGAACACACTCATCAGACTCATCGCGGCATCTGTGAGGACAGACAAAAGACACGGTTGGATTCGTAGTTGGTTGGTGGAAAATGGGCAGCTGCGCGGGCCGCCAGGAAAGGGCCCCCCAAGAAGCCATTGCCATTCGCAACGAACATGGGCAGCTGGTGGAGAACGCGCAACGCGCAGATACCTTGGCGGACTACTGCGAAAATATCAAATGGGGAGTTACGCATGCAGATCTTCTACCGAGTGGGAGAACGAACGCTGGAGACGCGTTGGGCACGCGCGCGGGGACGTTCGATATAGAAGAGCTTCGACGTGCACTCCGGGCTCTCGCCGCTGGGAAATCACGGGGCATGGGCGACGCGCCCCGGGGGCTCCGGGAAGCATTATCGCCTTCAGAAGAGGCGCGCGGGGAGTTGTTAATATAATATCACAGGTGTTGGGGCGAAAAGAGCATGCCAGCGGAATGGCATGCCTCTGTCGTGGCTTTTCTACGCTAGAAGGGGGGGCCCAAGCCTGCCGGTGAACTGCGGCCCTATATCTCTTTTGTCGATTGGGGGCAAATTTTTGGCGCGGACGCTACAGCGGCGAATTCAATGTGGCGCGGCCGAGAACCGAATTCGTTCAACACAAGTTTGCTTCCGCCCAGGCAGAAGCGCTGCCCGGGCGATTGGCATTGCCAGGGGGATGTTCTAGGCCGCAGAGACATGCCAATCTCCAGGGTTGGTTGCAGCATTGCTGGGCTGGTCTAACGCCTTTGACCGGATCAAGCACGATGCGCCCTTGGACGCGCTTCGATGGATCAGCGCCCCCGCGGACATGTTGCCCACGATAGCGGCGATCTACAGATGCAGAAGCTGTGTTGCGGGGGCTCTTCGAGCTGCAGGGGTCGCGCAAGGGCGCCCGTTATCACCGTGCTTTTATTCATCATCGTTCAAAGCTTCATGTTTTACGACGTCGACAACGGAACGGTTGGCCTACGCGATGCTTTCCGGGAGCCCAACTATTTGGCACGCAGTGATTTGAAATGCGCCGATGACGCAATGCTACCCAGCAGCGATTCCGGGAAGTTTCGAACATGACCCAACACAGTCATTGACGAAGGCGCGAGATATGGCTTGAATTTGGCTTGGGATAAAACTGTACGCGCGCGCACATGACACTGGTAGTTTTGCTTGTGCCGCCGGCGCGCCGCTGAAAATAGCGGAGTCAGCGGCGTGCGCAGGAGGTTTTTGAATGGAAAATGCTCAACGAGACTTGTAAAGCACCCGGAGAATTCGCGAAGCCAAGTCTCTATTGAGCTCCGTCTCGCTGTTGGTCGCGCGCCAATAGATGCCGCGACCGGGAAATCCAACTGTATAATGCAATTGTGTTGCCCAGTCTGTTGTATAATTTGGACTGTTTGGTCACTGCAAGCTGGCGGTGCCCTTTTTGGGCAGCTTCCATGTTCAATGCCTGCTATGTATTCCCAGCATTCCGCATGCGTGCGCGTCCAGAATTTCTTACAGCGAAGTCCTAGAAAGCGCGCGCAGGGGCCGCCGCTTGGCGAGGCGCCCCGTGATCGGCATATGAATGCGTATAGGAAGATTTCGGCACTCCCCGAAGACAATCTCCACGAGTTCCTTACGTGTGAGCTTGGCACAAGGCTGCCCTGGCGATGGGCGCGCAAAAGGAAGAGAGGGATGCCCAAACAGCAATGGGCTTCCAGCCCAAATTTGCTTTTTGCCAGCAGGCATGCTCTGATTGTTTTCGGCGCCCCCCCTCCTCTCCTCGTCCTTCCTCCTCCTCCTCCCCGCTTGTCCTCGCAGGTGGAGCCGATGCGTTTCCGCGGGGGTTCTTATCGCATCAGCTGTCCGGCGACGCTGCGTTGTGCTAACTTTTTATGTGCCAATGCGCCTTTCGAGCGCAGGGCCTGACTGAACTGACTGACTGGTCGCTCAGTAATGCTCGACATGGGTCTGGCGACGCGCCGTCCGCGCCCGCAGCGCGCCGAGTACGTCAGTATGGGATTGCCCGTTTTACTTCTTCAACTGTGACGGGCCCATTTTCCGATAATGCCCTTCTTTTTTCAGATAGTCGTCAGAAAAATGCGACCCGCCTTGCGAAGGGCGCCGTTGATTCTGTTCAAGACAACCTGCCATAGTGTCAGCCCGTTCGGAGGCATATGTTAATCGGCCTTCGGGTCCCCAGAGCCGTCCACATTTGTACGGAGATTGTATCCACAGTGTTTTGGTCGCGCCCCAGCCGTTCCTCGAAACGCCGTCTGTGAGCCAAAGTTGGTGTTGTAGCTGTCCGCCTTTGCGGATTCGTCGGCTTGCGGATTCTTTTCGTATGTTGATGTTCATGTCGACGGTCGCGATGAAATCATGACTGGGTACGATCGCGACATGTTCATATATCACGCATGCAAGGCATACAAGTATGTGCCATTTTCATGTGATCCAAGAGCTCGAAGCGTCGATTGCGTGATACAGTTCTTTGCTAACGTCATGGTGATTGATTGTGTTTTCGTCGGGGTGTTTGAAATAAGCATGGCTTTTGCACGCTTGGAGCGTATATCGTAATGCAACCAGCTATATACGATTGGAGGTTGTATTACACGAAAAGAAATAATGGTGAAAAACACGCTCCAGCGCGTTGCTCGAGTAACCTGACCAAGTCGGCATCGTCGTGTACATCTGTCCGATCGTTTGCTGTAATTAAATGTTAATACACCGCATGTGACTCGGATATTAAAACACCACCAGTGTCTCGAAACGAACACTCGGGTACGAATGTTTGGGATTGCGGGCGTTAAAAAAGGCCGCATCGTCGGATGTATGGGTGCGCCTCCCCGCTGGAGCCCCGACAGGTGCCCGTGGCCTCGTGCCAAGACAGCTGACGTCACGATCTTTCAATGACACGGGCCCCAGAAAGTCTGGATCCTTTTCCTAGGGCGCCCATTTTGAGTTTGTTTTGACGGTCGTGCGGCCCAATGAGGTCCCCAGGGGTTGACTTCTCCAAAACGTATTGTCTTGTTTTTTTCGCGGCGCGAGGGGTCTGGGTGAGAGGTGCTCTCGATGCCGGTTTGGGCCTCCATGGAAATCTTGGGGGTGCATTGGGCCCAGGCCAGGGACACTTCTTATCTGAGCAAAGGGGCATGATCATATGATACGATACGCCCCAGGGTGTCCCAAGATTTCCACGATTGTTTTTGTGCACGGGCCCTAAAATTAAAGTCGCCAGATACCCCAAAACTCCTGGAATGTATCCAGAGGCAGTCTCATCATTGCATATGGCTTCTCCTACCCTCTGAAAAGAGAGAGCTTCATAGCATTCTGGAGGAAAGGCCTCTGTCGCAGCGCTTGATACAACCTCCATATCTGCCGGGTCCCAGAGATCCCCGAGATGTCTTGGTCCGCGTTAATTCGTCCTGCTCTTGGTTGCGGCTTGCCCCTGGGCCTCGTGAGGGGTGCTCTGCAAACCGGGCTGGGGCTTCCGTGGGATTCCTGGGGGCACGTCGGGCCCCGGGGCGCATCCCGGCAGCACCCCGAGGCGGGGCGGCGAGCGGCGAGGCGGGCCATCGTCGCGCGCGGCGCGCTTTGAGGCCGAGGAGGAGAGCGAGGACGGGGGGGGATCTCGAAATCCAGCGCGCGTGCTGTTTGGACCTTGAGATTTTGGCGTCATGTTGTTTCCGCAACGGGCGAGTTTGCCTGGTTTCGGGCCCCGTGACCCTCACGGATTGACATCGGGCTTTAAGAATGTTGCAGAAAGATGGGGTCCAGGGCTCCAGTTGAGTTTTGCTGTGATGTTATATTTTTTCGCAACGTCGGAGTTCAGAAGGTGTCTTTATCGGTTCTGGACGGTGTTCTCGCCTCGGGACGCTTTCCAGCGGCTGCGCCTGGCCGAGAGCGTGCCGGGGCTGCACGGACCGTCCCGAACGACCTCCAGAGACCCGAGCAGGGACGCGAAAGCCAGCCGACGAGCATCATTCGGGTCGGAGGAGTGGGGGTGGGATGGAGGCAGGGGGGTAGATTTCTTGGCGTCCGCTCTGTCTCGGGACGGACGAGACCCAGACCTCAAACACATTGAACAAGAACAGTTGAGCACAGAGGTTGTCCGTCGCTTTTGAGGAGTGGTCGAGACCTCCAGGACTTCACGTTGTGAAGAATTCGGGCCGTCCCGGGTCTGGATAGAGAGGGTTGCAGGGCAAGCGCGGTGCGGTCTTGCCATTTTTGACATCCTATCCTTCCCACCCATCCTTTCTCATTGCTCTGATCTTCCTTTCATCCGCCGACGACTGTCATAGCGGGCCTTGTCCCCGAAAAGGACCATATCATATTGGGCGATGCGCAATCAGGAAAGAAAGTTGTGTTCGTTGGAGGAGGAGGAGGAGGAGGAGGAGGAGGAGGTGGCGGATAAGCAGGAGGGTGAGCAGGAGCAAGAGGATGATGCGGAGGATGAAGGAGGAGAACGAAGAGGAATAACAGCAGCAGCAGCAGCAGCAGCAGGAGAAGGAGCGAGGAGCAGGAGGATCAGCGGAAGGCGGAGGAGGGGAAATGAGCGGAAGGATTGTGATCAAGATTTGTCGCACGCGCTGGAGCGAGAGCGCCATTCTTGTCGACGGGAGAGAATCGCCGATCCTGAAATGAGGCCAAAGTTGCAGTTGGAGCACCATTTTGAATTACCGAAGACGTTCCGATTGAAAATGGCCGCATGAAGAATTACCTTTGGAATCCCCATACGTGAAAAGCATACTGCTGGAGAAGACGGGCACCTCTCAGACGCGCGAGATAGGAGAGTAGTATTCACATGGAGTAATTGCAGAGGGTTTGTGTGCGTGTTTTCGAAATTGGCTGCACGCGGCCGGTTTCGGCCCCGCCGCTTGTCGCTCTCCTCGACACGCTGTCGCCTCCCAGCGCCGTGGCCCAGACACCCCAAAAGTCTGGTTCTCTTCCAGGAGTAAGCTTTTCATCCCGAGTAGTTGTTTTATGGTCTTGGTGATCGGTGAGGGCCCCAGAGGCTGAAAATTGTAAATCTTCTGTCGCGATTTTTCAAGACGCCAGAGGGTCTGGGGTTACTGCCCCCCCCCCCTCGTCCGACCCAGCTGTCTCCTTCGCCGTCTGCGCCAGAGGCAGTCGGAGCGTGAGGCCGGCACGGATGCTTGTCAGAGAACGGCACATGCTTGGGTTTTTAGGGGCCCGCGCGGATTCTTTTTGGTATGGTTTGGCCCCCCACCCTCTTCGAGAGGGAGAAGAGTACTAATGACACGCCGCTGTAGGGACCCCGTCAACGTATGATTCCTTCGTTTTTGTCCGAAGGTACGGTGTGCCTTCACTCAACAGTGACACGCTGATGGGTTTCCCGCGGCGGCATGTCAATGGTATAGGCTTTGCTCTACCACCCCTGGCGACACCTCTGGCGCCGCCCCTGGCGCGCTTCGCGTGGCTGAGGGGATCCAGCGCCGACCCAAGAGGTCCGCACGGACCTCCAGAAGTAACTACGCGCTCGTGTTTTTGTTGTTCCTCCAGTGGAGAACGCCCGCCAGCTTTGGAGGATAACGTTCTTCGGGTCTGAGTGTTCTTCGTCCTCGGCATCTCCATGGGGCCCTTTGCCCACGTTCTTTTTGCCATGCTCGACTTTAAGGCGTCCTCCTGTCGCTGTCGCCGTTCACACATCCCATGCATCTGTTGTCGTGTTTTTCATGGTGCGGGTCTGGGACAGTTTTTTTTGTTGTCGCGGGCAATTGTTTCATGTTCTTGAGTTCCAGAAATTGTCGAATTTCTAGGCGAGTTGTCGTGAGAACGACAGTGGGGAATTATTGCGTAGTGAAGCAACGAATGGGGATACGAGTCAAACCAAAGACGGGGCTAGTATGAGGGCTTCAGCAATTGCAACGCCAGTGATCGCTAGTTGCCTCTTGGCAGCCTCTTACATGTCGTTGGGAGAACAGAGCTCTTCCAGGCCATTCATACATGTGTCGTCGAAGCTCCTTACGAGCAGCAGACACGTCAGTCCATTCAGACCGCCCCTGCAGGCTGTTCGATATCCTACGAGGAACGAAACAGGGAAGTCCCCTTCGCTCCTTGTTTTTCAGAGTGTAAATTGCGACGCACAAGAGAGAAATGGGCATCCAGAAACTACGGCTTCAAGCTCCAACTACACGGATGGCCGTCTCACCAATTTTTGACGCTTCGCATTTCCCCACTAGCCCATCCAGACACGATTCGTTGATGTCTTGGCATCCTGTACGCGTGCAATAGACACAGTGAATGCTTTCTCGGTGGTGCGGGGAGGAGGAGGAGGAGCAGGAGGAGGATGAGAAGGAGGAGGAGGAGAAGGAGGAGGAGGAGGAGGAGGAGAAGAGCTCTTGGTGGTCCTTGCTGCCTCTTGGAGCATCTTCGATGTTCCGGAGGAGCCTCTTGAAGCCACTTTGTCTCTCGTGGGGGCCTCTTGGGGGCCTCTTGAGGGCCTCCCTGGTGGTGCTGGGCGCTCCCTGGTGGTGCTGGGCGTCCCTTTGGGCCCTCTTGGGGCCATCTTGGAGGAGATCGATCAAAGAAGGAGTGGACGTCAATTTCGGCCCCTTTTCGGACGCTCCAAGATGGCTTCCTGGGGGCCTCTTGGGCTGTTATTGGGCAAGTCTTGGGCGGTCCTGGGGCCGTCTTGGGTCCGTCTTGGCCCTCTTGGGCCTCTCGAGGGCTATCTTGGAGCCATCAGGAGGCCGGAAAAGCGCATCGGAAGCGAAAAGGCGAGAAGCACAAACACCTTGAGCCTCCCTAGGTGTTTGGAAGATTTTGGCCTCTTGGGAGGTGCCTTGGGAGACGGGAGTGGCACTTGGAACCCCTTTGGGGCTGTCTTGGAGCGTCTTGGAGGCCTGTCGGAGACCATATTGAACGATGTTGAGATATCTTGAACCATGCTGGAGGCCCTCTTAGGCTGCCAAGGGTCCTCTTGGAGCGATCTTTGGCCATTTTGGGCGCTCTAACCCCTGGCGCCCCCCCCCTCCAGGCCCAGGGGGAGGGGTTACGGGGAGAGGTAACCCCCCCTCACGAGCAGGGGAAGCAAGGGTTGTGGCAGAGAGCTGAGAGCAATTCGTCAAGCCAATCATCCCAGAGGGCTGGTGGGATCTACGGCTCGCAGACGACATCTCGCTCCTCGCCTGGTCACCCAATTATCTTACAGACATGTTCACCGACTTGATCACAGAGGCGGACAAGGCGGGCTTGGCATTGCACCCCTACAAAATAAAGACCATGCACAATGGCCACCGACCACCACGTCGAAAGCGTACCCCAGACTATGTGCACGTGCTCGGCATGAAGGGCGAAGTTCTACCACTCTACCGTGGCACGAAATATCTAGGGCGGCAACCGCAGGACAGCACGCCTCGCGCTATGAGCTGGAAAACCACATCATGACGGCATGGCGGAAGTTTCACGCACTCAAGGGCGAGCAGGACGAGTTAATTGGAAGAAACATTCCTTATGAGATCGGCTACGATTCGTCAACGGAACCATCACGCCGATGATTATGTACTGTCGCGAAACTTCGACCTTCACGACTGAGTCAGAAGACAAATTGTGGCGAACGCAAAGGCAGATGTTTCGCATGATCGTGCGAGTATCGAGACGGACCACAGTTATTGCAAACTCGCCGCCAGCGCCACATCCGACCCATACCAATTCCGACAACCATCAAGATAGCAACCACCAGCACAACAACACGTACGAAGGAGAAAGCGCGACGTCAAACCACACGCCCTTCACACAATTTACGCACGATGACGACAGAACGCCCAAATCGTTCGAGCTACGGGTACCAGGGATCAAACGTGCTACTCACGGTGCAGAGGCTGCAATTGAACGGCTACGGATCAAAGTTTTGGGCTTCATTGTAAGACAGATGACTTTTTATATGGAGAATGTTAATAAAAAACAAGCACAACAGGCGACACCATGGATCCAACAGGTGATCCAATGGACGCCACAACACGACCCGGTATATCATGCAAAACGGAGGCCAGGACGCCCGATAACTAGATAGTTCCACAAAATCCGAGGCCACGCAGAGGAGCAAATGGACAGTGGCTTTCTTAGTATCAATGATGCATTCACTGTTGCCGCAAATGAGCCTAGGAACGGTGCCGAGCAGGATTTCTGACCGGGCGTCATTGCACGCCGTTCCGGCGCTCTGGCGCCGCACAGGGCACCCCAGTTGCTGCCCATGTGCGGTGGTGTTTCGTGTTTGGTGCTTCAGCCTTTTGGATGCTCTCCCACTTCTCTTCTCTCTCATTGCCTCCTCCCTCCTGATTCCTCTTACTGGCTTCCCTCCTCCCTCATTCCTTCGCTTCCCTCCTTCCACACTCCTGCTCGCGTCTTCCGTTTTCCCATCCTCCATCTCCTTTTCTTCTCCGTTTTCCTTGCGTCCCTGGCCCTGCCGTTTTCCGTCCCGTTTTCTTCCACTTTCTCCCATCTTCCCTTCTCTCCCCATTCATACTCTCCCCTTCCCTCTACATCGTCTCCCTCTTCTCATCCTCGTCCTCGTCCTCCCTACTCCATCTTCTCATCCTCTCCCATGCACGCCCCGTCCTTCCTCCTTCCCCTTCTCGTCCTCCTCATTCATCCTTGTGCTCCTCCTTCTCCTCGTCCCCCTCCCTAGTCATTCTTATATTTTTCCACCTGGCGCCCAGCCCGCCCCGAGGAGCACGGGGAGGTCCTCGACTTCCCTGCGCACTACATGGGCGACCTCGTAGGCCAGGACGGCTCGGTGGTCAAATCCCTCCAGGACGACTCTGGCGCCAGGACCCCCTTTCCATCAGAAAAGCAACCACCATACGCACATGATCCATGGAGGGCGCGCGCGCCCCCCAGTCAGGGTCCGCTCCGCCCGCCCGGATGCCCCGCCCGCCAGACCCGCCCGTCAGTGCCTCCCTGTTTGTTTGCCAGGAAGCCCGTCCGCCCGCTTCGGTGTCCCGCACACGGTGTCCCCTCCCTCCCATGCCTCGAAGAAGAACAGCTAGCAGAACTGTTTGGAGGTCCGCGCGGATTTCTTGGATCTGCGCTGGACCCCCCCTGGCGGCGGTGCCTCCGCCGCCGACCCAAGGAATCCGCGCGGATTTCCGAATGTGTATGTATGTATGTCTGTCTGTCTGTCTGTCTGTCTGTCTGTCTGTCTGTCTGTATGTATGTATGTATGTATGTATGTATGTACCTATGGATGTACCTATGGATGTACTTTTGTATTGACGCAGTGACGTCTTGATACGCATGCCTTGGTATCTTGATGGCGTGTGTCTTGAGGCTTTCGAGCATGTATATCCTGATGCTTTCAACGTAGATTCTCATCATAATTTGATGCTTTGATGTGCTGATGTCTCGATGGATTCATGCATTGATGTCTTGACACCTCGATGCCATCATGCCTTGGTGCCTCACGGGGATCCATGCCGGCCTCTTCCCCACCCCTCCCCCGTCCCATTTGCTTCCCCTACCTCCCTCTCTCTGGGGCTTCCAAGCCATACGGTGACCACACCGTGTCGTGAGACAGTGGGGATTCGGGTTCACCGCAAGATTTTGGGACTCGGGTAGTTCTCCGAGGACGTCTCGGGCAATTGCGGCCTCCGAGGTCCCAAAACCGTGCGGTGACGAACTGTGCGGTGAGGTGTTCCGGGAGTTCGACACACGTCCGTCTAATTCGGTTTGGGGCCGCTTTGGAGACAATGTTGACGTGCGCATGCCTACTCACCCGTCGGTGTCGGCCCCGGCTTCTCGCTGCCATGGTCATGTTGACGTGTGCTTGCGTCTCCCGTGTGTTCAGGCCTGTCGGCAGCGTGAGGAAGTCTCCACTAATAAAGTACTTTCTGAGTTCGGCCTCGTCGCCAATGGAGTTGCTGTGTCGGGGTACGAGCATGTTTTTACCTAACAGCGAAGACTGATAGGTTTCTAATGGTCTCAAAAGAAAGCATCATGACTCCCCAGGGGGGTCCAGGTAGGATCCGGGGAGAATCCGCGGAAGTCGTTTTAAACAAACAGTTACACATGTCGTGGTCTTCGAGGTCCCAGAACTCCATTCCCGGGCCACATTCTGAATGCCCGGAGCCAACTGTAGGCCACTTCGTGCTCTTCGAGTTCCCAGAACTCCATTCCTGGGCCAAATTTTGAATGCCTGGAACTGTAGGCCACTTCGTGTTCTTCGAGTTCCCAGAACTCCATTCCCGGAGTACATTTTGAATGCCTGGAACTGTAGGGCACTTCGTGATCTTCGAGTTCCCAGAATTCCATTCCTGGGCATGATTTTGAATGCCCGGAGCCAACTGTAGGCCACTTCTTCGTGTTCTTCGAGGTCCCAGAACTCCATTCCCGGGCCACATTTTGAATGCTGAGGCAGGCTCATGCTGAGGCTGAGGCAGGCTGAGGCAGGCTGAGGCTGAGGCCGAGGCTGACGCTGAGGCAGGCTGAGGCTGAGGCTGAGGCAGACTGATGCTGAGGCAGGCTGCGGCTGAGGCTGAGGCTGAGGCTGAGGCAGGCTGAGGCTGAGGCTGAGGCTGAGGCCGAGGCCGAGGCTGAAGGCAGACTGAGGCCGAGGCTGAAGCAGGCTGAGGCTGCGGCAGGCTGAGGCTGATGCTGAGGCTGAGGCAGGCTGAGGCTGAGGCTGAGGCAGGCTGATGCTGAGGCAGGCTGAGGCTGAGGCTGAGGCTGATACAGGCTGAGGCTGAGGCAGGCTGAGGCCGAGGCTGAAGGCAGACTGAGGCTGTGGCTGAATCAGGCTGAAACCGAGGCTGAGGCAGGCTGAGGCTGAGGCTGAGGCAGGCTGATGCTAAGGCAGGCTGAGGCTGAGGCTGAGGCTGATGCAGGCTGAGGCTGAGGCAGGCTGAGGCTGATGACGAGGCCGAGGCTGAAGGCAGATTGAGGCTGAGGCTGAAGCAGGCTGAGGCTGAGGCAAAGGCAGGCTGAGGCTGAGGCTGAGGCTGAGGCAGGCTGAGGCTGAAGCAGGCTGAGGCTGAGGCTGATGGCTGAGGCTGCGGCAGGCTGAGGCTGGCTGAAGGCAGACTGAGGCTGAGGCTGAAGCAGGCTGAGGCTGAGGCAGGCAGGCTGAGGCTGAGGCTGGCTGAGGCAGGCTGAGGCTGAGGCTGAGGCAGGCTGAGGCTGAGGCAGGCTGAGGCCGAGGCTGAAGGCAGACTGAGGCTGAGGCTGAAGCAGGCTGAGGCTGAGGCTGAGGCAGGCTGAGGCTGAGGCTGAGGCAGGCTGATGCTGAGGCAGGCTGAGGCTGAGGCTGAGGCTGATGCAGGCTGAGGCTGAGGCAGGCTGAGGCTGAGGCCTGAGGCTGAAGGCAGGCTGAGGCTGAGGCTGAGGCTGAGGCTGAGGCAGGCTGAGGCTGAGGCTGAGGCAGGCTGAGGCTGAGGCTGAGGCAGGCTGATGCTGAGGCAGGCTGAGGCTGAGGCTGAGGCTGATGCAGGCTGAGGCTGAGGCAGGCTGAGGCTGAGGCCGAGGCCGAGGCTGAGGCTGAGGCTGGCAGGCTGAGGCTGCAGGCTGAGGCTGAGGCTGAGGCTGAGGCTGAGGCTGAGGCTGAGGCAGGCTGAGGCTGAGGCTGAGGCTGAGGCTGAGGCTGAGGCTGAGGCTGCTGAGGCAGGCTGAGGCTGATGCGAGGCTGAGGCTGAGGCTGCAGGCTGAGGCTGAGGCTGAGGCTGAGGCTGAGGCTGAGGCTGAGGCTGAGGCAGGCTGAGGCTGAGGCAGGCTGAGGCTGAGGCTGAGGCAGGCTGAGGCTGAGGCTGTTACTGCGACTGCCGTTGCCACTGCGACTGTCATCGCGAATGCGACTACGACTGCGAGAACAGCAGAATTCTACAACTGGATTCTCATCTGAATCTTAAGGGGACTGCTTCCAGACATGCTCCTACACATCGCTGTTAGGTTGCTTTGCCGGGATAATTGTTTAATCCTCTTGGCCACAACGCGTGTTATGGACTCCCTCTCCTCAATAACGTAACGCTTGCTCGCAGACATGGTGTTGCGCTCAAAAGGTTATTATCGTACATGAAGGGTCCGGCAGTTTTTGCGCACGCTCGCGGGGTCCAATGTGTGTTCTTGTGCTGGCAGGGCCGCGAGAGTTATGGTAGTGGCATTGGTTGCAGAAGTAGCTAGCGGCAACTGTCGCAGCAATACAAGTGACATCAGGTGGAGGAGGAGAAAGAGTTGGAGGCGGGAACGGGGTGTCCTTGTAACCGTCGTCGTGGCTTTCTTGTGGTTCTGGTGATATTTGTTATGTTTGCCATAGGTGTGGTTCTTGTTGTTGTTGTTGTTGCTGTTGTTGTTGTTGTTGTTGTTGCTGTTGTTGTTGTTGTTGGTGGTGTTGTTGTTGGTGGTGTTGGTGTTGTTGGTGGTGGTGGTGTTGTTGTTGTTGTTGTTGTTGTTGTTGTTGTCGGTGGTGTTGTTGTTGTTGCTGTTGTTGTTGTTATTGTTGTTGCCGTTGTTGCTGTTGCTGTTGTTGCTGCTGCTGTTGCTGTCGTGGTTGCTGTTTTTGCTGTTGTTGTTATTGTTGCTGTTGTTGTTGCTGCCGTCGTCGTCGTCGAAATCGCCATGTCTGTCGTGTTCATTTTGGTCGTAGCGATACTCGTCATCGGCGTGTTGTAATATCGTTAGTTTCGCGATCATCGTCATTGTCGTCGCGATCGTCGGCGCGGTTCTGAAGACCCGCGTCGTCGCGGTCGCGCGTAGCTCGAACCCCTGGCTACGGTTGGCCCCGAGCTGAGGTGAAGCAGTTTTTCCCAACCTTCCTTGGTTGAGTATTCGTTTTGAATAGAGTGGTATGGTCGCGTCTCTCCTTCTCCTCCTCCTCCCGCCTCCCGCTTCCTCTCGCCTCCTGCCCTCTCTTCGCCGTCGCTGGGGGGCTGCGATCTGCGAAACTGTCGCCACTTTCGAGGGCTGCCGGTGGGTCCTGCGGAGTGAGGCACCGCGCAGATCTGAGGTAGACCTCGCCGTCCCTGGGGGCTGCGATCTGCGAAATTGTCGCCACTTTCGAGGGCTGCTGGTGGACCCTGCGGAGTGGGGCACCGCGCAGATCTGAGGTAGACCTCGCCGTCCCTGGGGGCTGCGATCTGCGAAACTGTCGCCACTTTCGAGGGCTGCTGGTGGGTCCTGCGGAGTGAGGCACCGCGCAGATCTGAGGCAGACCTCGCCGTCCCTGGGGGGCTGCGATCTGCGAAACTGTCGCCACTTTCGAGGGCTGCTGGTAGGTCCTGCGGAGTGAGGCACCGCGCAGATCCGAGGTAGACCTCGCCGTCCCTGGGGGGCTGCGATCTGCGAAATTGTCGCCTTTTTCGAGGGCTGCTGGTGGGTCCAGCGGAGTGAGGCACCGCGCAGATCTGAGGTAGACCTCGCCGTCCCTGGGGGGGCGCGATCTGCGAAACTGTCGCCAGTTTCGAGGGCTGCTGGTGGACCCTGCGGAGTGAGGCGCCGCGCAAATCTGAGGCAGACCTCGCCGTCCCTGGGGGCTGCGATCTGCGAAACTGTCGCCACTTTCGAGGGCTGCTGGTGGGTTCTGCGGAGTGAGGCTCCGCGCATATCTGAGGTAGACCTCGCCGTCCCTGGGGGGCTGCGATCTGCGAAACAGTCGCCACTTTCGAGGGCTGCTGGTGGGTCCTGCGGAGTGAGGCACCGCGCAGATCTGAGGTAGACCTCGCCGTCCCTGGGGGGGCTGCGATCTGCGAAACCGTCGCCACTTTCGAGGGCTGTTGGTGGGTCCTGCGGAGTGAGGCACCGCGCAGATCCGAGGTAGACCTCGCCGTCCCTGGGGGGCTGCGATC